CGTTCTCATAAAAATCAACATTGGAGACGCTCAGGAATGGAGGTCCACGTGAAATACCTGTCATCAGGAGTCAATCAAACTCCTGAGGCTCTGCAGTGGGGACCAGATGGAAGAATATTATATGCAGCCAGCACAGGAGTTTTGTTATATGACCCAAAGGTAAGTGTTATATATTTATTATAGAGTAGATGGCGAATAAGGCAATATGACGTAAGATCCTGCCTGTAGTTTTTATGTTGGGAAATGTACCGAAATAATTATTTTTTTCTTGAATGTAAATATCATGAAGTGTTTCTCGATGACTTAACAAAAGTAGAAAGAATTTGTCATGATCAATGCATAGATGACACAGGAATGACGGTAATTTTACAGCTTACGTCCGTGGATCGGACATCGACGATTTTGGTTTCGTTGGATTCCTAACACTGTCCGTAGTGCAAATATGTAGTTTTTATTGCGCGGAAACCCCCCTTTAGCGACAAATTTGGTTCTGATAACAGGGGAGGACATGAAAGGTTCCAGGGAAAATGCAGGGTTAAAAAACATTAATAGTATAACCCACAATAAAAATAACTATGATAATTCACATTACTTTTCATTGTAGCCCCCAACCCCCACCAAGGAAACAAAGCATCCACCATGTATTCATGGCAGGATAGAGCGCACACAAACTAGATGCGGAGCCGATAACCTACTAAATAACCTAGGATATTTATGGCACTAACCTGATTGATAGATGCTGCAGGCTCGCAGGCTCTTCCCCGGATGAGGCCGTTGCGAAAGCACATCGGCTGGTGGTGACCTCGTGCATAAAGTTTGTTTCCGAGTAGGTGCACCCTCCACATTTGGTCATCGCAGCAGCTATGGCTGAGTACCGAATGCTATGGTGGCAGGCAGGTCCGTACCATTCCTGTTTTGAAGGTGTATCTCGTTAGTTCCAGAACGGAAATTATACTGTATTATTTCGGTTATGAACACAAATCTCGTGGTTTCAGAGGACGGGAAACTCTTATCCAATAGATGACGACATAGTCACTTCAGTAACTATATGGGAAAATGACTGCCATTTATTGGCTGAATCTAATATACGTCTTACTAGTGTATGTATATAATTCCACTCCATCATCCGGAACTATCAGTGTAACCTCGAGAGCTGCTCAAAACCCGCCTAGGAGAGCGGGCCACCTTCGCTCTTCTGTTCATGGTATGTCCTGTTCATCCTAATTATACTACAATCATCTCTATACAATGCTGACTATGTCAAGGTTAGCATGCTGCTTCAGTGGGAAAGTTACAAAACCTGCCCCCTGCAATGGAAAGTAATATGAATTATCATTGTTATTTACATTGTGGGTTATATTATTAGTGTTATTTAACCCTGCATTTTCCCTGGAACCATTTATGCCCTCCCCAGCTATCGGGGCCAAGTTTGTCACCAACGGGGGGTTTCTGCGCAATAAAACCTACTTAATTGCATTGTATAGAGTGAGAGGAATCCAATGATACCAAAATCGTCGATGTCTGATCGGCGGACGTAAGCTGTAAAATTACCGGAATGACAACTTTGTATTATCGAAATGTGGTACAAAATATGAAGGAGACACACAAAACGGGGGTTTTATTAATCATATAAATATGTAGTCTCCTTTCTATTTAGGTTTACTAATAATATTCTGTGATCTATCTTCGATGATTTGTACAGTTGTGCCAGACTGTAGAGTATTTTTCTTGCATGGATAATATTACACTTTTTCATGTGCGGAAAACATCATTTGGTCTACATTTGACACTAGTAAATAACATTATTAGATTTTAGAAATACTGAACACTTGAAATTAAAACATTACAAATCATATTTCATATTATTAAATAAAATCTGTCAGAAGAAAAGCTATTTTTTTAGATCTGATTTTCTGATTATTTTCTCTGTGTTGCCTTGAGCTGTATGTCAGCTAAATATTGAAATTATTAATGAAGCTACATTTTTATCATAGTATATATACAATCATATGTCAATGTGTTCTAAAGATGTAAGGGACATATTTTTGTATATGATTAGCATCATCTTGTATTTTCTTTTTTCACAGGATGGCAGCATCATTGGAGCAGGCACAAAGGTCCACAGCAACAAGGTCACGTATGCACAATGGGTACAGCCAGCACCCTCCTCTGGTCCAGTGTTGGTTACTACTGGTGCCGACTCCAAAGCAGTTGTCTGGACTGTCTCAGATAAAGAAGAAGAGGGGCTTTTAGTTTTGCACCCTAAGGCTATCTTAGGTATTTAAGTATATATAGCTAGTGCACTCTTGACCTGAATAGCTTGGCCTTAGATAACTTGCTAGCATTGTTGATATAAATAGCAGTAAGGCCGTAGATGCCATTACCACTAGATATGTGTTTTTTCATTCTGCATATGAGGAAGCCAATTAAATTGAATTGTGACATTGATATTGACTTCATTATAAGTAAAGGTGGACAGTTTAGTGTGACAAATGTAGATAAAGGAATGGCTGAGAGTGAGTAACCTTGCATCACAAGAGATGTATTTCAAATGTTTCAACGATATCTTTATCAGAAATATTTGTATTTCTGTTGAAGATATAATTTAAAAAGTCAGATGTATGTCTTGCACTTTGAAGTTATTTATTCTCATTCATGGTTCTTTTTACAACAGTAAATTCTAACTAATATATTTTGATAGTGCTAGAAGAACAACTTTTTTTAAGCCAAATTTTTTCTCTTTTTCAGATCACAAGTCACATGTTCCATTATGTGATGCAACGACCATTACAGACAATGGTAAAGAGAAAATATTTATTGTGACTGTGACAACAGACAGCCTCACAAGTTGGTCTGTTTGCCCTGAAACTGGTGAGTTCAAATGTAATTTGATATCTTTTGATTTCATTTTTGTTTGATGTACAGTATATGTTTTATAAAATCAGTTTATGACATATACTTTCTGTAATGCAAGTTGAACCTTACTGGTTTGGTAAGCTTGAAATGAAATGCAGAAGTATACTTCTATTTCTACTGTTCATTGATCTCAAAAGAGGCTTATTCAGGAGTAAAATATTAGCAATCCCAAATAATATAATAGTACTACTGACCACTACAGCTTAACTGAGGTAGATGAACAGTATGGGGCAGCTGGCCAAGTAGTCCTAAACTTTGATGCTGCTGGATCAATGCCAAACAGTCCTAAACATTGATGCTCCAGATCAGTGAATACCAGACAATATAAGGGAAAACATTTATACCATAGATTAGATATTCATAATGAAAATTGAAAACCAGCTTATTATAAATTCCAATAGGCCATCAGATCATGAAAAAGATTGCAAAAATTTGGCCTAGGATGTGTAGATAGGAATGCCTTGCCAAAATTGCACAAAACTCTTACAATCAGTGGGCCTTTAAGAAGGGGGTCTTATATTATTCCTATTGATGAACGATTGTGTAATGTGCCAACCATAACTGGAAGAATGCTAGCTCCAGGGAAGACAGTTTCCATGCCCACGATCCTGTTCCTGCCTCACGTAACCAGTGGTACAGGTTGAATTACAGGAATTTGAATATTACAAAAAGAAAAAAATATATATATGTACAAGTGACAGGATGTTACTTATTGTTATTATTAGTACATAGAATTTTGGGCTACCCAGAGAAATGAGGAGTCTGTGCAAGGAAAACGGTCTTATTACCATCTTGATACAGCATATCAAAGATCATTGGAAAGTGGCAAAAATGCAAAAAGTGTTTATGCAAAAAAAGAGATTTTAAGATTGCAAAGGGGAGGCAAGGAATCTTGAAACCACATAGGAGTGTCTGTGTGTGTCGGCTCTACAGGTGAGATTGGCCTAATGCCTGGATTTTGGATTATTTGTGGGCAGCAGAGCACCCAGATCCAAGGGGTTAAGACTCTCTTTATCAGGGTAATTAATCCATTGTCTCTAGGATAATTTGGGAAGTGCTTAGCCTTCACTAGGCTTGCCTCTGAGGCACTTTCTGCACTGCACCAACAAAGTGATATGATTTTTCTTTGTATCATTTGTATCCATAACATAATTTTAATGTTTTTGCATATTCAGAGATGCATGATATTCATATTAGTTGCTAGATTGAACCTGTAGTAGCCTGGTTTTGTATGCAGAGCCTATTTCAATAAATTAGGTATGTTTTACTCAATGTAGAAGATGGAATGTTGATTTATGTAGGCATATCTAAGGCTGCTACTCCCATGGCTTCAGTTCTTACCTTTTTTTTTTTTTTTTTTTCTTTCTTTTTCTTTTTTTTCTTTTTTTTCTTTCTTTCTTTTTCTTTTTTGTCATACTTCAAGACAGTCACAATGGCAGAGTGTACTAAGATAATATGGGTAGTTGACACAAGGAGACTGATTAAGTAAACTAGTGTGAAGGTTACTTATAAGTTCACAGCAGTAGCAAGAGAATGCAGTTTTTTGCCTGCTATCCCTGGGAGCTACCATTTCCCGGGGATAGCAGGCAAATGAATTATATGTTTAATATCACCCATTGCATATGCTATTCACTGACAGGCAGTGCCCCAGGGCATGTGATATGTTAACATGAGAGTACTTTATAAAGAACAGCTTCAAATGTAGTGAATGCATTACGAGTAACATGATGTGAATGACCATCCTTCATAGTTGTGACCAAGTCAGCCATGGCAGGAATAGCATGCCTATTGGAACTGTAATCAGGGCAGGAAATTCACAATGACAACTATGGCAATTGTGCCCTTATGAATTGCCACAATTCCCTAAAATTATGTGGATTTTCGTGGTAAGGAATTGCCATGCCTCGAACAACACATTCTGCCCTTTTGGTTAACGCAATAGGTGTGCAGATCAGACTATTGGTGCACAACCAATACTAGTGGTCAGGTTGCCATCAACATAGTGCATGCAGATAGAATCTACATGGTATGTAGCATGCTGGGTAGACCGATCAGCTGTGCAAAAAATCAGACGATGCTGCAAATGGATGCACAGACATCGTGCACAGGATGTCAGCTGAACTGCATATTCTCTGCATATGTACATACAGTGTACAAGAGGGGACAGTTCCATATCAATGAACTTTTTGTCTTTGGGTTGTAGTCCATCTTGGACAGTGCTGTACCAAAACTGATGAGTTAAAATGCCAACGGGCACCAGCGCTAGTATGACCAAATTATGCACTGCAAGATTGCACTGCGCAATCTTCAACTATGAGTGTGCGCTTGAGTGGAATCTGACTGATTGACGATAATGCTGTGATGTACATGTAAATCCATTTTTAGATCCTTTATTCATGTTTTTGCACAATTGCCATGATGCACCCAGGATTGATTGTGTTTGCCTTGGTAGTTTTTATATTTACATATTCTCATTGTGCTTCAGTGCTTAATACAGCAATATTTGCAGGGGAGTTTGAATGTCTGAATTCCACTACACCACCTGGAAGAGCTTTTATATTGAAGTTGAAGTTCTGTAATGTTGATGGTTCAAAATACCCTTTCCTGGTATGTGGAGGCCATGACAGCAAGATACATATCATGACAGCTAAAGAGCTTGGAAAGTATGTTCCAACTGCAGTCCTCATTGGCCATGAAGATTGGGTTGTGGCTTTAGATTTCATGAAGGAAGGTGAGAAGTTTGGTTGTGTGAAAAATATAATCTAGGAAAGATAGAATGAAATACCATTGCCTTTGTTTGATTTCTTATGTCATAGCTTTTTTAGTCTTTGATTATGGCAATAATAACTGGTGTTTCATTTTGAAAAAGCAAACTAGAATAGATCAAATTGTAAAATTACATTTTATATGCTAATGAAAGCTATTTCTGTTTCAAGATAGTGGAGACATGCTTTTGGCCAGTGGTTCAAAAGATGCTTCAGTACGCTTGTGGAAATTCACCACGCAGAAAGGTGGTAAGGAGAAGCAAGACACAGACCAAAAAGGGGATGACATACTAAAGTTAAAAAGTGTCACCTTTCAAGTTCCAGCAGACAAGGAAGAAATCACTCTATCTGTGTCATTAGATGCGATATTGGCAGGGCACGAAGGACTTGTCTCCGGAGTTCATTGGGCTCGACCTATCACAAAAGGTAAGATAGGATAGAGCTCATGAAAAGAACTTTCATTAAAGGTATGTGAGCAAGACCTTACATTTTAAAAGTAATAGCATACTCCTAAATTCAACTTTTGAACCAACAGACTGCCAAGTTCATCAACCCTTCAGACTCCTAACCTGTTCCAAGACCCAGGATCGCTCCATCATTATTTGGGAGCCAGAAGGAGGGGCTGATACTGGGAGTGGCATTTGGCTTGAGGTGGCACGGCTTGGAGAAGTCGGAGGCAATATGGAAGGATATTATGGGTGCCAGTTTAGCCCAGATGGTATGCAGGTGATAGGCTGCAGCTATCAGGCAAGTGTCTCCAGGGTTGTTTATATTTCATGTCATTTTAGTGGTATATTTAATTGAAATGTGACAGGTTGAATATTACATACTTGCTTGGCCCTTTTTTTTATGTATGACCAATTGTGATGTTTGTTTTATGATAGATTGGTTATTTGTTGTAAAATGCTTTTCTTAATTCATATCTGTACTTTCCTTTACCATCCAGATATAAAGATAAAGTCCCTTGTTGAAAACATGAGAACAGGAAAAATTATTGTCCTAAAAACTTTTCTCTCCTCTTTTACAGGGTGGACTCCATCTGTGGGAGAACCAGTCAGGAGTCTGGGAGCCTTGTGTGGTTGTTGGTGGGCACTTCGACCAGGTGGTGGATATTGCATGGGACCCACTAGGAAGGTGAGCAAATTCATCCCCTTCTTCTTTTTCATCTTTGTTTTGCTTTAGTATTCTGCAGTTAAGTGAAAAGCTTTCCTGCCTTCACCTTTCATACTCTTGTTGAATCATCACTCATTTCTGCTGTATTAGAATCTTGATTAGCATTTTGTTGTGTGAATCAATAACAGTTTTAACTTTAGCAAGTACATTTTCTAATCAATTAGAATGTCTGGAATATTATAAATGATGAATATTGGAGACTATTTCATCCTTTATTTTATTAAGATAGCTCCTTAGCTTTTAGCATTTGAAATAAAATTAGTCTCTGGAGCTAAACAGTATTGTACGAACCACATCTTATAAGAGGCATGTCTGAAAGGCATAATTGAAAGTCAAAGATTATTGTCTGCCATCTTTTAATACCGTTGTTTGAAACCCTGTGATACCATTTTTTGACACCACTTGATATTACTGGACACCCTTTTATAACGGTCTCAGTTGATAGTGGAGGTCATTATCAGTGTCTTCCTTTTTATAATTGTAATAGTAGTTGTGATGAATATTATTTTGTTTTACAGTCATCAGTGTATTTCACAGGTTGTTTCTCTTTTTTTTTTTATTTTTATTTTATTTATTTATTTATTTATTTTCCTTTTTTTTACACTGTAAAAGTCATTAGGGAGTAGATGTCATTTTGTGTTTAAAAGGTGTCATTCATTTTATAATTGCTATTCTCCTTCCATCTAGTTGCATATCATTTGTGTTGCATTAATGTAGGTGGAGAGATCAGCCTTTCAGTATATTGTATAGTTTGCTCTTAACTCTGAAAGATGAAACTTCAGCTTAGTTTTCATGACATGAAATATTCTAAGATGTACTTCTATATAGAAAGGTCATGGAAGAGTATATGTGATATTGAGAAATATCTGAAATACCATGATTTTTGTATTTCTTGTTTTGTAATGAAATGTAACCTGTAACTTTTACACTTTTGTTTTATTTACTTCAATTATCTGCTGTTTATGAATGGAGTAGCTGTCCATTCATGAATTCTTATTTATTTTTCTCAGATATTTGTTATCAGCCAGCAAAGACCAAACTACTCGCCTGCATGCCCCTTGGAGACCTTCCAGTGGAAAAGTATGTTAATTGCTTTGTGTTTCCTCTCCTTTATTGCTGGTAGTCAGTTTGGAGACATCTTCCATAACTTCAAGGATGTCTGAGTACACTCACAGTGCATTGCTTAGTTGTGGAAATTCCATAGATTTTATGAATTCCCAGTTTTACAAGTTTGATATTCTTCATATAGAATGATATCTTGTGCTAACATTAAGGATTATTTTAACTAGATGTATTGCTTATTGATTTTCTTCTTCTAATTTGTTTTAAAATCTTGAATGTTATCATGAGTAATATGAAATTGAAGGTACTATCTATAGATTTATTATATTATTTGTTTGGGCTAGAGTAATAATCTTCAATTTTATTGTAGGAGGCTTGGCATGAAGTAGGACGCCCTCAGGTTCATGGCTATGATATGGCCTGCATTGCAAGACTCGGAAGATTCAGGTTTGCCTCTGGTGCTGAAGAGAAGGTTGTAAGAGGGTTCACCGCGCCTGCTAACTTTATTCGTAATTTTGGTCAAATCTGCAATGTGAATGTCGAAGATGATCTGGGTAAGATATCCTCTTTTTTTTCCCCCTATTTTTTTCAGTTCTTTATTAAAATGATATTGATATTATCCTATGGTAGTGATTATCTTGTCTTGTCATTTTAAGGCCATGATTATATTGATGCATTTGAAGGTATATTTGGTAGTATTCTGATCTGATAATTAAGAATTTTTGCATAACAAGCATCTTTACACTTGTGTACTTTTCTGGCTTTACCATTGTTATTACCAATATTTATACATCATATTTCATGTTAGCCTGAATTCTTGAGGAAAGAACTTTTAATCCACAGTACTGTGTAAAATGGTGTGATAGTTTCTTTGACTCTTTTAGAAATCAGCAATTGGCAATTCACTGCAATATATTCTTTATGCTTAATCTGAAAATGTATTTATTTCATAGGTTATAGCTGAATTATTGTGTGATTATTATTATAGATATGGTAATAAACTTTAATTATTATAATGACATATTAAACTGAAAAAATATATAAATGTTTAAAACTTACTAGCAAGTTACAGAGCTTTGTCCGATATGTAAATAGAAATTTTTTCCACTTTTCCTTCTTCTTCTTCTCCTTATGTATTATGCCTTCCAGGAACACTTTTTCATGGCATTGTACATTTAATTTTCAGAAAAGTGTAAGGTTGGTGAAGGTGCATCTGTGCCTTCTCTAGGTTTGTCCAATAAAGCGGTGACCATAACCGACCTTCAGGAAGAGCAGCAAATACAGGAGGAGGGAATGGAAGAGGTTCAGGCATACTTCAAGCTATTATCTCTTACAGGCAAGTAAAAGTGTTCTTGTTGGAAGGATTTTCTGTTATTCTTTCTGTTTTGATACATGTTCAGATCTTTTCATGTGATTTGATAATGTTTGAAATGAAAAGTTCTTCATTAGGTTTAATTGAACTTGTTGATGTCAGGAAATGTGTCAGTAGTGTGTTAACTTCAAATGATTTGAAATTTTGATTATTTGCTGTTCAGTGTTATCTAACTACTGACAAAATTACACTATTCTTGAAATACTCGTAGCTCTATTGTTTGTACATTTCCTCAGCTCCCCCAACGGAAGATCAGTTGATGCAGAATACGCTATGGCCAGAAGGAGCAAAGTTATATGGCCATGGTAATGATCTTATTGCACTGGCCGCCAACTCTGATGGAACCCTCTTGGCGTCTTCGTGTAAAGCTTCTCACGAAATGGATGCCCACATCATTCTCTGGTACGTGGATGAAAGTACAGAAGATGTTCAAATCATTTTTTAAAGATCATGACTTCAGTGGATGAAAATGGGAACATGTAACTAGCAATTTGTTTTGATATCAGAGTGAATGATTTGAAAATATAAACCTGGTTAACATTTATTGAAAATGTGTAATGATTTATTCAATCCTGATTTCAGGGACACAAATACATGGCATCAGGTGGATGTCCTAGCAAAGCATCGCCTCACCGTCACACAGATGGCCTTCTCTCCTAATGATGAATATCTTCTATCAGTCTCTCGTGATCGTACCTGGACAGTCTTTAAAAAAGAGGTTTCACCAGAAGGTGAGTTGGAGTGTGACTAAACAGAATCTCATTTTTAGGATAGTTTATTTTTGTTTCTCCTCTTAATAATATTATCATTATTATTTTTATTATTATTATTATTATTATCATTATTATTATTATTATTATTTGTTGTTGTTGTTGAATTTGGATTTGCTCTTTGTTTTTTACTTTTTTTTTTTTTTTTTGTTATCTTAAGATTGAATTGGGTTCTGTCTAGATAAGGTATGTAGATAGTGTGGCAATTCTATTATATGTAGCAAGAATGTATGCATATTAAAGCACTATGTATTTAAAGATATGCATATAAGACTCCAAAGTCTTACCAGAAAATTATTCCTGAATATTATTTCCCTCTCACAGGTACCACATACAAAGTGTCAGATTTTTCAAAGAAGAAGGATAGCATGCACGGGCGAGTCATTTGGTCGTGTGCTTGGATGTCTGACTCGCAGCGTTTCATAACAGCTTCACGAGACAAGACCTTAGGAGTTTGGTGCCAAAGTGAGGCCGGCTGGGTGAGGGAGACACTCCTGAACGAGACCAATGAAGCAGTGATGGATTGCAGAGGCAGCGGCAACGGAGTTTACCTTGTGGCTACAGGTATCTTTTCATTTTACGTTTTGTTTGTTCGATTTTTATTATTATGGTTAGCATTAATAGTAATTTATCTTTTTTTTCTTTTATCTTTCGTCTCGTTCATCTCCTTGTCATTTTCATCTCCGTTGTTGCGATTAACATTATCACCTTGATCATCATTATTTTGTCATAAAAATAACATTCATAGATATGGTTTGAGATTTCAGAATTCTTTTGACTCGTTATCTTCTCATGCTTATTTCATATCTACTCTTTTCAGGTCTTGTAAATGGAGAGATCCACATAAGAACCTACGACTCTGAAAAGAAACAATTTTCAGAGGATGTGTATAATGTACTTCAGCACCATTACAACACAGTGAGACGTCTCCAGTTTAGCCCCGCCACGGAGAATGGAAGCCTTCCTCTTTTAGCCTCTTGTGGAGATGATAGAGGAGTCCGCATATTTGAGATCAAAGTTCCTTCGGATATTGAGTCAAGATGAAAATTTAATGAATTTCCTGAGTTAGTGACTTAGCATTTTAAAGAGATTATAACTTAAACAGCATGCAAATAATTGTACCTTTTTATATTTCTTTTCTTGTTTTATTATTTGTTTTTTGAGGTCAGGATCCAAGAATATATATTGTCTAAGTTTATGTGAAACACAGATGCATATTAAATATATTTGAAAAACTGGAACGTCTTTTATACAGCAAATATTTTTGTTATGGTTAACAATGTTTATGTATTTGGGAGTTTTTTGGGACCATACCAGATGTTAATGGACCCTCAGTTTTTCATTTATTTACACAAATCAAAACTTTAATAGAAAGACAACAAAATCCCTCAAATTATAAGAATTTGTACTTTTAGATTGTGAAGCAAAATGTTTGATATTTATTTGTTGGAAAATTCATATCTTTGTGCATTTTTACACTTACAATTGTGTGCTCTTATTTTTATTCTTTATTACTTGTACAAAACATGGAATTCAGTAAGAAAGGTTTAGAAATAAAATCTTTATGCTCCTGTTCTTTATTACAGTTTATTTTAAACATATTTACAAACTATTAAAAGTACAAAATAAAAATTATTGCCTGTACATTTCATAGTATTCCATACAAGCAAATTATAGAAACAAAATATTTGTTCACTGTTTTGAATGTTACCAAAATCTTCTTGGTACAATAGAATTTCCAAACATATTTTTTTCATTTCCATAGAAATTTCAGTCATAAAGAATCAAGGAAGTATAGCCTTGCACCTCATGTATTAGCATTTTTGTATTTATTTCATAATATACACAAAAAGCAACAAAAGCAAACAGCTTATATTTAGGAGTGAACAAGCTTAAGTTCTGTTGATATTGGGGTATTTGATTTTCATAAATAATGATGTTTACAGGGAATGTAATATTTGGCAAATGAGGCATCAGTGACGATACACTGTGTAGGTGCATAACCCCTTTCAACAGTTCATAAACTTTTTCTTTTTTTTACTTAAGCCTGCAAAGTCCTTAAACATTAGAATTGAGCATTCCAATCTAACTCACTGTAGCTTGTTGCAAAACTAGTACAAATAATTACATATTTTCAATGAAAGCTGCAGTCATATAATCAGTGGTGTATACATCAGCGTACTTTAAGTTAAAGGAAAGCAATTTATATCATACTGAAGTTCTGCAAAGGCTCTGATTTTTCTTCAGAGGCTTACTGAATAATTCTTGTGATTTTCTTAATATGTATTACTCTTCTGTTAAGAATTAAACATCTTGCAAAGCTCTCCGTTCACACCAAAGTTATCATGGCACATCAAATATAATTCATGATTATTTAATTGCATTAAACAATCACGAATCTTGTATCATAAGACTTGCAACTTAAAGCTATCCTAAAGTAACACAGTCCAACAGACATAAGAACAGTGTAGACACATAGTCCCATATGATACTAAATTTGTGAAAATAAAACTTATCTTCTATACCCTATGTACATTTCAAATTAGTTTTGTTTTGATAAATTTGGATGAATGATGACCATCCATAGCATCTCTTTCTGGTCTACTGGCGGGCTGTACATTGGCTTGAAGTCTGTAAAATATAGTAGAGAAACACTGTAAACTATTTTGCAAATGAGTAAACAGTTACCTGTATGTAAAAGTCAGACATAATGATTTATCTACAAAGAGAAATATCCACAATTTTGGAAGTTATAGTTATTGATAAGTTGCAACAGGAATGGAGTGATGAAAAAGAAGAAAAATGTATAGTTACCTACCATATCATCTGACCTAAGGGGTAGGACCTTCCATAGTCGAGGTTCAACGGCATCAGAAGTACCTCAAACCAATTGTGTCACATTTTACCACATCCAGTCTATCTTGGACTGTGCTCACTGTTGTATCTTTGTTGCTGCAAATACTGCTTCTCTGTTGATAAAAGAATTGGCTATTTAATATTCATGTTGTGAGAATGAAAGAAGATAAATAGTCTAAAAGACAGATAGTTAAATGAAATTTTGTATTGGTGACAAGCGAGCCAATTCATTGGGACACACACACACACACACACACACACACACACACACACACACACACACACACACACACACACACACACACACACACACACACACACACACACCACACACACACACACTTGCACGCATGTATAGGTTCAAAGTAACAGAAAGTACGCTTTAAATATGCTAGATTTATTGAAAAACCAGACAACAGTTTCGAAATCCCCCTCGATCTTCAGAAGTAAAGATGAAAGTCGGGAGGATTTCAAAATTGTTGTCTACTTTTTCAATGAATCTACTTTGTGCTTAGTGGATTTTCTACCATATACTTGTGTGTGTTGTGTGTGTGTATATATATATATATATATATATATATAATATATATATATATATATATATATATATATATATATATATATATATGTGTGTGTGTGTGTGTGTGTGTGTGTGTGTGTGTGTGTGTGTGTGTGTGTGTGTGTGTGTGTGTGTGTGTGTGTGTGTGTGTGTGTGTGTGTGTGTGCGCGCGTGCGTGTGCGTGCGTGTTTGTGTGTGTGCGTGCGTTTGCGTTTGTGCGTGCGTGTGTGCGTGTGAGTGCGGGTGCTGGTGCAGGAGCGTGAAGATTTCTGATTTGTTTATTTTGCTGTTTTTTGTTGTCGTTTTTTTACAGTTCCGAGGGGCGTATCTCACTAAACCTTAAGCAACAGAGGGCGTTGTTTTTACAAGCATGATGAAACGCTTAGGCATGTGAAGGACTGCCACCTGCTTTTGATTTGATGTTTAATGCTGTAGATTATACTGTTGGTAATTTATACTACATTTTGTAGAGGAATATGTACACGCGCGCGCGCGCGCGTGCGTGCGTGCGTGCGTGCGTCTGTGTGTGTGTGTGTGTGTGTGTGTGTGTGTGTGTGTGTGTGTGTGTGTGTGTGTGTGTGTGTGTGTGTGTGTGTGTGTGTGTGTGTGTGTTTTGGGGAAGGGGGAGAAAATAAAGTAGAAAAATGCTGTTGTTTTTATTACCATTATTATTATTAATGTTTTTGTTGTTATTATTAATGATGGCACGAATGAAAATAAAAATTGTGTGATTAAAAACGCAAATATGAAGTAAATGGTCAAAATTAAGGAAAACTTCAACACAGTAAGAAATAATGGTTAGAGGTAATTAAACATAAATGTAACGAAACAAATCCCGGTATAAGAAAATAAGAGAATTTAAAACTGCATCTAAGAAAAAAAACAAATACTCTCCATTCCCCTTAAATACTAAAAGAAATTATGCATGTACTCCCCTCTCCATTCACTTTCGACTCACGGCGAGGACTTAACGACACGAAAGTAAACGGTGTCATTTAGCTGATTGCTCGAAGGTTAACGAAAGTAGACAGGTGTTAATTACCTACGAGTCATTCCGTCTTCTTCCGACATTTATGATGAGGGAGTGTCGGCCCTTTCTGACCTTTGGCATGCGGTAGTTTCCTGGTCTCGTTCTCGGTCTCGTTCTCGTTCAATTTCTGTCTCGGTGGTTCGGTCTCTGTCTGTTAGTTTGTATGTTTGTCTGCCTGTTGGCTGTTTCTCTCTCTCTCTGTGGTTTTGTCTATCTGTCTGTCTCTCTGTCTGTCTGTCTGTCTCTGTCTCTGTCTCTCTCTCTCTCTCTCTCTCTCTCTCTCTCTCTCTCTCTCTCTCTCTCTCTCTCTCTCTCTCTCTCTCTCTCTCTCTCTCTCTCTCTCTCTCTCTCTCTCTCTCCCTCCTTCCCTCTCTCTCCCCTAACCCCTCTTTCTTTTCTATGACCTATGACCTCGTCCCAAAGAGGAGCTGCAGTGTCACGCTGCATCTCACGTATAAACAAAATTGAGTCCAACAAGGCCGAAAGAATTTATTTCTTATGTATCTATCTATTTACGTCTGTTATCATATCGTTATTTCTATTATCATTATCATTGTAATTTTGAACATTGTGTTTGCTAATATTATCATTATCTTTACAATTATTACCATTATCATTACAATTATTATCATCTTTATTATAATTATTATTATCATTATGACTACCATTATCACTAACATTGTACCATTATTATCATTGCCATTAGCATTATTTGCCAAAATTTAGCTTCCATCTTTTTACACAATCATCTTTAAAGGAAAAAAATCGCAAATCGCGAAACATAACGAAAAGATCATGTGACCTTAGCATGAATTGTAAAGAAAATGGATGTCATTTGCACGCAATTTCTAAAGGACGAAAGTTAAAAGTGAAAATGAAAAAAACGAATAATTCATGGATGAAATAATACCAAAAGATAAAAAAAAAAAAAAAAAAAACGCGAAACCGCTCTACAAAAAAGGATTATCGAAGCTCTCTCCACGACAACGACAATGGTGTTATCTGAACGCATTCGAACACGTCCTGAAATCGAACGAAGGAGAACTTGCTACCGAACAAGGCCGAATGCTAGA